TATTTTGTACAAGAGAAATACACTTCAAAGTTCTTTTATTTTACTACTTTGTCTTTCACAACATTAGGAGTATTTATTTAAAATTATATTTATTACATATAGGATTATTCACAATTTATTTTGGCCGTACTCTCAGCTCAAATGTTCTTGCCCGACTAATTCTCCCTTCCACAAATATTCTATTTACGTACATTTTTACAAGCATGTTACTATACCTAAATTCATGGTTTTTTTTCTAATCCCAGCCTGCTTTTCCTCTAATCGTTTTCATCGGCCTGCAGATGCATGGGGCGCCTGCGAATGCTCATTTGGGTTTTCCTTCTTTAGGGAATTTATTATTACGAAAATTACTTAACTGACATTAACTGGATTTGGGATTTTCGTAACAATATATTATTTTTATATGTTATAAATTTTGCCTTTGCAGGCCCTAAACAAAAAGATAAATCGATTGTTTTTAGTGCAGATGCAAGAAGAACAAGTGGAAAACATGAACCGAATCGTTTATATTCACCACTTTTAAACTTGAATGGAATACACAAATATTTATTGCTGCTGTTTAGGAGTTTTAGAGGAGGTGCTGCCAACTTGCCTGCCTGATATCTGCGTTTTTGCGGCAAGGCAAGTGTTTACAAATACCAGACAGACGGACATATTTAAAATGATACGGAATTACGTAATGATCAAAAATGCATGTACTCTGTGGTCTTTTTGAAACTTCCTTCTAGGCATCGCAAAAGTTTTGGGAAAATCAATTTCCCCTTATACCTCAGTACTGGGTATAAACAACCATTGGGTTGCGTCTCGGTTTATTTTCAAAAAGAGATAGAATTTTGGAATTTAGAATTGTAGTTCGAGTTTGGAATTTTTTCTAAACATTCCAATCTAATAAACTTAGTATATTTTTCGGTGCCAAGGGAAAAAATTACCCACACACTGTTATTGAAATTACAACTTTATTTCGCAATTGGCTCGTTTACAATTATTGTGTTATGTTTAGTACATAAAAAAGATGAAATTTTTCTATTTCATATGAAATTTCCATCGTTCCACGCAAGTAATATAAATATATAAAAATATAAGCAATAAAGATTCACAGAACTTATTATTATTTCACGCATTATTTTCCTGAAATGAAAAATTAATCCGTGAATACACACACGCGCACACTAGGAAACATACGTGCAGTGATTGAAATAGTTTGTGGTATATATAGCTCATAAAAGCTACTTTCTATTTTGCAATACCTTCAAAAACATTCACTTGCACTTGGGATCATTTTTTATGCGCAGAGTTTGTCAACAAATAGATAAAAAGAAAGCAGAATATTATTTTCAAGAATCATATTCTTGGCTCCTCTCAAGCTTCTGTCTTGTGAAGCAGGAACGAGAACGACGTTACTATGAATTATGCGTAATAACAGAAAAAGAAAATATATTGTCCACCGCCAACATTTGCGCACATTTTCTCATAAATATTTAACATATTCAACCAACACTTCATATTCCAGCAGTGTAAATGCTCAGTAGATTTTTTATACTATTTTTGCAGATGCTTGGGCATGCAAGTGCTTCTTGAAACCCTTCGTTTGCTCCACTTTTGTTACATTTTGTGTGCGTACGTTTAGGTACAAATAGTTTGGTTTGGTTTTGCATATGATTTTGGATAAGTATTTGTTTACATACGACAAAACATAATTTAAAGAGCGAGACGTTAAATCCGTTTTAGATCGATTTAAATACTTTTCAAGCCCTTACTGAATCGACATATTCTTCTTTTTTTGCTTACTTTAGATAAGAATAGAAATTTAGAATAAGAATACAATGTACACTGTGGTCACCTAACAAGATTCATTTTTTCATTGTTTGCAACAAGCTGTTTCATATGCTAGAATGAAGTCTGAAAATGTACAACATAATCATTCATTAATAATAGACAAAAGAAAGCGATCAGAATGTTTTCCAGACAAGAAGTATGCGTAGAAATGAGTTATGTTTCCTTTTAAGTTAAACTTTTCATATACGTTCATGCCTTCTAGTAGGAAAAAACATCATAGGAGAACATGAGAGTGTACAAGAAAACTTGGAATACAGAAGAGGCTGGTTTGAAAAACAAATCACGGATCTCAAAAGGATTGCGCCCGGTAATATTAGCTGAAAAGCTCTATCTTATCTTGAAAAAATTTGTGTGGTTCGTCGTCTCATCTTGGTTTTACTAAGGTTTTGACTTGAATGGGCCTACTTGATTAGCCTGTCAATCGATAGGCACATAGGCCTGCCATCAAGAAGATCTGCCCTATGTCAAACGGTGCAAACGATTACATATTTCTTGCAATGTACACTTGTTAAAATGGTCGGCTGCCAAACCTATGTTCGCTTAAGATAATGAAATAAAATCTGCACAAACTAGCGAGACATACAAACACATTGACTTCATAACACCAATAAGCAGTAATGTCCCTTTCGATTTGTATAAGAAAAATTTGTAATAGTTTTCAACGATCGTCGTAGGCCCCAGCCTACAATAAATTTGAAGTTATGCTTGCCATAAATTTAGACTAGTCCGAAATTCAATTTAATCCCAAAAAAGTTGACCCGAAAGATTTGAAAATCTCTGAACAGAGCTATAGGATCGTTGCTGAGGTTATGTGCTACTCAGACTTGGTCAAACCCTTGATTCGGAGTACGTCGGTAACAGTTCTATTTCCGTGCCAATAAACATTTACAGATGAATATAAAGGCGAAAAACTTTCATACATCACGCAGCGCGTATCACTGAAAGCATCCGATTTTTCCTGTCATGTTCAAAAGAGAACTACACTTTGTTCTCGTCAGGGATCACGGTAAATACGTTTTTTATATATCAATAAAACTTTCAATTTTCGTAGAAATAAACGACGACCACTCTGCATACACACATTGTGGAAAAACAATTGCGAAAGACTTTTGTTGGAATCTTTTTTCAAACTCTTTAGCTTATAGTATGTCATACGTTTTTTGCAGAGATGAATATAAACAAGTAAGAAAACCAAGTTTGGTCGCGACCGAATCTTTTATACCTATCAATGTTATCCTAAAAAGACAAAAAAAGTGAAATAACTAAACTTTCGTGCTCTATAATATGAAGTGGGCGCGGCTGTTTTTTTCTATTTTCAAAATAAAATTTTTTTGTCGCATAGGCGTGTGGGCGTTTTAGGTGCCTCCTTTGAACATTTTAGGTTATTTCGAACTTCCTTAGCAAATTTGTAGGCAATTTCATTAACGATATACCACAGATACGGCACAGATGGCAGACGTAGAGATGGACACACTGAATTTGAAACTGACCGAGGATGTATATACTTAGATAAGCGTATTCCGATTTTGTGTAGGCACTGCAGCACGTCCCATAGAATATGTGTTCAAATTTTTGTACATATATTTAAGTAATGAGCCAAAAACCGATTTTTTATTCCTTTTGAAAAATATAGTTACTTTCGGTTTACGTGCCACTAAGCAATTTGGCACATTTTCACTACTAAGCTGCAAGAACTTCGAATTTTTTGACAAAGTTCAAGTCGATAGCCTGCTCCCTTTGTTAATGTTTTTGACATACATTACACAGATGGACGTACTTGATTCGATTCAAATTTGCTGCTGATCAAGAATGTATACTCTTTGTGAGGTCTCTGAAACTTCCTTATGGGCGTTACAAACGTTTTGTCCAATGAGTGTACCTCTCATCCTTCGGTGATGGGTACAAAACATAAAAAGCGACAGTAGTTTTGCAAAAACATACAGAAAAGATGAGCAAAGTCAATGAAAAAAAAAAAAAACGCCAGAAACCGAAAAAAATAGAGATAGAAAAGGAGAGTAAAAGCACAAAAAATGCATATAATTAGGGGCAAGTATCTACTAGCTATCTAGCTAACAGAAAATATTGAAAATGAAAAAAAACAAAAAGTGTAAAATGTGAAAAAGGAATACAAGAAGAATAAAAATAATTGAGAAGCATTTGACCAAATGTTAATGAAAATATAAATTTAGTTTGTAGAAGAGTGGCTGGCTGACGGGCAGCACAACGTTTGTTGTTGGATAATTTTCTTACGGGTAATGGTTGAAAATGATCTAAAGCGAAATTTTTTTTTTTTACATTTAAAGTGGATGCGTGTACGGTAGAGTGTTGGAAAAAGTCACTTAATTAGACACATTGCCTATGAAAAACAGTGAATAAGTAATAAAAAAGAATACGCACCACCAACCAGCGTATGATATACATTCCTTATAAAAATCTCAAGAATTAAACATGTACACACAAACACCGATATCATTTAGGAAAAGAACATGCGTAGGCAGTGTTGAAGAACGTTTTGAATTTATTTCATTATAATAGTTATTCTTTTCACAATTTCTTTGAATGAAACGATAAGACTAACTAAAAGAAATCTTCGAAAGCCTAGAACGAGGTGATAAATGCAGACACAAAAAATTTCCGCAATTTTCTATTTTCGAATCAATATGTTCATTTAGTATGTGCAATGAACAAAAGGTGCGCGCTCTTCTATCAAAACGGCGGCTAACGGCAAAAATATAAAAATCAATACAAATAATTGTCTTTAAGTTCGTTCAGTAAAAAAAAAATGTTCTCAGAGAATTATTATTATTATTAAGAAGAAGAAGAAGAAGCAAAAACGACAAACAAAAACAAACTTTGAGAGAAAGAGAATAAATAACAGCATGTGCGCGATGATCAATGATAATTAAACTCACATTATCATGATAATGAGGATGTTATTAAAGCGGCTACAGATGTTGAGATCATTATTAATATTATTTAATAATAATGTTGTGTTCAAGCGTGTTATACAAAAAAACGGTGCGGAGCTAAACTATTTTTAAATTTCACAAAAAAAAGAAAAAAATTAAAAAACACTTATTTCTATACCATATTTTATTTTTAATACCTGGAAAATAGAAAGTATTTTTCAGTTTATTTTTTCTTTAATACGAATAAAGTTTTTTAAAATTCAAAAAAAATCTGAAAAAAAAAGAAATTATACAAAAAAACATATGATTTGCATATGTATTTTTTTCTATGTACGTAAATGTGTGTATATCAATATGTGCGTTACCGTGTTACACATATAGATATTTGTTTCAGTGCTTTTTAGTTTCTACGGTTTGGCAAATTATTTTTAAAAATAGTGTTTTAGCTAAAGCTGCTGCTGCTGAGAGTATCAGTATTTAACATATTGAGCGCTAACAAGACTGACATATCGACCGACTACTGACTAACGACTAATCGACTGACTTAGGTAAGCAGGAAAACGTGTGTGAAGTGCGAAATGTTCAAACTTTTAGTAACACAAAAGCAACGAGAATTAATTGATAAATAAACAACAAAAACAACAAAAATTAAATTAACGGTAGAACTGAAAATTTGCAACAAAAGAGAATCAAAAAATCTATAATAGCTAAGCTGAACGTTCGTCAACATTTTGATCTGTTATTTGACGATAACTGTTGTCTTTTATTGTTTGATTACAGTCAAAGCCAACGACGTTTCACATAAACAAACGGAAAAAACAAAAAGAGTGGTTCTTCATCTGAAATCACCTAATATCAGCAACATGTTTATGAAAGTGCCGTCACAGATAACGGAACAATTGTAAAAATTAAAATTTGCTTACATTTTAAAAATAAAAAAAATAAAATAATGACAGTTGCAAATATAGTTAAACGAAATTGATAAGATTAAAAGTAAGCATATATGGTATTCTCGTTCTTTATTTATATTGTTTTTTTCTTTTCATTTAAGAGTAAAGCTTAATTTAGTTTTACTCTCTTAATACCGAATAGAAATATTTTTTTTTCACCCACACACGCGCACTTGACAAAGAATATTAATGCAATAGTTTTATCCATAACTTTGCAACACCCGGAACCATACACCGGACACCCTGCCAAAGACATACTCTATCAGTACAGGATTCTGACTTAAGTTGAACTTGTCTCCTTGTAGATTCTAAATGTACAGTTCGAAGTCTCACGGTAGTAAAAATTTAGTCTTTACCTATAAATTCTCGAAAATCCTAAACTAAGATTAAAAGGGACCATTATTCGTTTACAAGCGCATTCATAATAATTAAAAGAGATGGATTGAAGCTCGTCATAGTACTCTCAGCTTTCAACATAAACGCCTTCCAGATCAAATCGAAATTGAAAGTTGATTTCTTTATGTACGCTTGTCGATGAAAAGTAGTGCAAAAGGCATAGCCAGATAAATAGGGATGCACCAGATTTACTTCTGAATTCGTTCACAATTCTGAAAACATTGAAAGACTTCGAAAGCGTCAAAATTTATAAAAAAAGTGAAAGTCAGCTATTTATAAAGTACACTAGTATAGGTAGTACATATTAATATAACTTTTGATATCTTTATTTCCTAGAGTTAACTTATTTATTATTTTTGATAGAATTATTTGTTACAAATTCGAAGAAAATAAGATACCTTTGCAGAAAAATTTGGCCTTTGCTCTTTACGCACAGGATCACGCATTAGACACCTCTTGTGCCGCCATACTCTATACAAAATATATTTGATCATTGTTAAATTAAAACATTTTAAATTTACATGCACAATTTGTAATCAAGTAAAGTTCATTTTATAATAATAAAAACAATGTTGGCAGGGATTGAAAGTCTAATAAAATTTTTTATACGAGAATTGTTAAAACAAGCGTTAATACCTGCTTATATATTCCAACCACTACTGTAGTTGTTTGCAGAGTAGCTTTTTGATCAATTTCTCAGAAAATTGATGTGGATTTGTGGACGAGAATTCTTTTAGCCGTAAAATGCGTTGAAAATTCAATAAGTTCTTGAATTTTCTTGTGCGCACCAAATTCCTTATTGCGCTTTAAAATGAAAGGTTGCATGTTCGAGCCCTATCGCTGTCTGTTTTTTTTTTTTATCGCTTTGAAAAGGCAAAGTTTATTTAGTAAAATATTTGAAAAGACACGCACGTCAGTTTATGTAATCATAGTATAGTTTCATAAACTATTTCATATACAATATTATATATTATCATTAACAAAATAAATACGTTAATTTGGGTTAGTAATTAGATAATATCTTAATTAAAACAATTGTGTTACATTTAAACTTTGCTGAGCTTACGCGAATATTTTGGCTTCACTACTAAGATGAGCAGTATTGAATTCAGCCAGTGGCTGCATGACAGTTACTAAACTGTTTTAAGTCGTATGTCTCATTGTATAATTTATTAAAAAACAGAAACTTTACTGTTCAGGTTGACAAATGAAAAAACAATTTTCTGTGGCTTTCGATGGAATTTCTCTACGATCCACTGCTTACTTAAATTGTATTTAAAAATAAAAAAAATAAAAAAAAAAAAACAACCAACTATGCTGCGATTCGAACCCATCGTCTAACTCCTAATGTAAAGTAAATAAGTAAAATGCGTTAAAAATGTTTTAAATTATTATACAAAATAATTGAATAACAAAAAGATTGTGGTACAATCATATTGGCTGGGCTGGCGACGGCACTCCACTCCGGGACGCTATCCCGCTACTGCCTACCGCGGGAACTCTTGGCTGCTGGTTTTCACCCCTGGCCCTTTCTATCCCTCCTTAGTCAACCTGAATGCCTCGAACTCCTCCAAGGCACCCATATTAACGGAGAGCTTAGCGCGGACGTTCCGTCAACATGAAGAACTCCGTCACGCAGGAGCCCCAACCTCAGACCATCCTCACAATCCGACCTCGCAGATGCACGATTACAGAAGATGCCAACCTTCCAGTCGAGTTTGCTTTGAAATTTTTTAAACACTATCAAAACGTGCTCTATGTATCGCACGGTAAAATAACTTTTTCTTTGTTTAACTACAAGAGCGAACTCAAAAAAAAAGGAAAGAAATAAAAAGATTGTATAAGTAAGCTTATGGCGGCGCACACATGTTACGAGTTGCTAACGCATGAATGTGAACCAAGTTGATATGAATGCAATAGCACAACCTTTTTGGTGTCTTATGAAAATTTGCTCCTCTTACTGACTTAATTAAAAATAGAGCAAAATTTTTGAATTGATCTACGCAATACAGTCAATATTTCTTTCAATGCGAGCCTGCTAATTGGAATGCATGCACATAAATATTCTTATTCGGCATGATGGATCAATTTATACGTCCTTCCGTATATTTTTTTTTAATTATGCAAATTGCAAAAGAGAAAGAGAATGAAAGTATTCTTTCATTTAAACTGAAATCTTTGACATCCATCGCTTAATATATGTTGGCATATTATTATTGAACGACGTCTTGCGTGTAGTATTGGAGTTTCTGTTGACTTTGTGTTTTTCATTGGTTTATAATCACGGTTAGGATTTTTTACTATACTAAAATTTGCCACATTCTTTAGCCAAGCAAAAATACGGTTGATAAATCCTATTAAATATATTAGTTTTAATAGACGTAGGATTGTGAAGTGATCTGTTCCTGTAAATAACCTGCATTCTCTTAACTGTTACTGAGCTCCCGTGATTTCAAAATTGGACACAGAAATCTGAAGTCAATGTATTCAAAAATTAAAGGGAACTTTGAAATGAAACAAAATATATTTTCACGCAAATACTAAGCTTGTGAAACGACATTAGTTGGTTTTTTATTGAAAAATTGATGACTAAAGTCAATTATTTGAAGCACCAGACGATAAGACAAAGAGGATAACAGCAACGCATCCTTCAACATAGAATGAGTTGTTTCAATTGATATTTCAATCATACTTTCAAGGTCTTCAATATTTATTTGGTGATTGCCGATAGTGTTTTCATTAATGGTTAACCTGAACCTTTCCTCCGGTTTGTTCAGTTTCTGCTACCGCTTCCCCGCTATCTTCAAAGTATTTGAGCAACATGTAAACTTTTGGTTATGCTATTGTTTCACAACCTGACATTTTTTCAACATGTTCAATGCATTTCCCTGCGAAATTTCATTACTTTAACAGAATTCAATATAAGTTCTACGCTTAATAAATTTATTCAATTTGAAATTTTGCCGATAACAAAAAGAACGATCATAAAATTCTTTCTTTCTGAAATTTTCTGAATTCTGAAACTTTCTCTACCAAGCTAATAAATGAAAGTTTAACTTAATATTTTAAGCTCGCGAACAAAAAAAATACTCTTCATAAGCAAGTTGTGATTTTTGGAATTGAAACAAAATATTTTTCTTTATATTGAAATGGGGGAGCGCATCCAAAATTTGCAAATTTTGTGTGACTATAGAGAATACGTTAAGTTAAAGAATATATGAAGCGAAAAGGGTAAGAAAAGTTATATTCACCGTAAATCGAATTTGAAATATTTTTCATCGCAGGCCAATGTAACGAATTCGCTGAATATTTTATTAATTATGAGCACGTTACATGTCTGATTAGAAATGTTTTTGCTATAAGTTTTTTGTACATGCCCACAGTTAACGTTTGATACTTTTTTTTCAGAAAAGTGCTAGGCTATGATTACATCTCGGATAAATATCAACCAAATGTTACGAATTAACATTTCAAATTGAAATTTTGCAATTTTTATAAGCAACAGATAATGAAAGGACTAACAGGCGCAATAGACAGATACAGTTAACCAGGTTCCGAGTTTACCGCTGACCTCGTGAAAATGCGTTCTTTTTAAAGGTTTCGATACACATTTGTAAGAATTGCACCGGCAACGACTACTTTTTTAGCTAATATCCTTTTATGATGGCTAAAGTAAATGCATACACATGTGAAAGCATGAAAGCATTTGCTGGCAGCTGTCTATTATACTTTAGCACTTAATTTTATTTTCCACACAAAATTTGATACCGATTTTTTGAACTTCTTTCCGATAGCAAAAAATCGCCAAGCACACCAAAGCGCTGCGAAGCCTCATAAACTGTCAAAAACAAATTAGAAATGGTTTGATAACAACAACAAAATAGAATGATTTGATTTCGAGGCATAACTACGATAAGTTAATTTTTTAATTTGTTAACGCCACTAATGTGGTGGTGTTACGTCCAGAAGAACTTGGGATCTTTTGTTCGAATCGATTTAGAATCAAGTTATCTGTCCGTCTTGTGTATGTTACAGATCGCAATTCGGGGATATATATATGAATGTATATATATATAGATGATTCTATAAATGAATATTTTGTTTTTTTTCATATGTAAGGGGCAGTGTTTGTTGTTATTTGTAGAAATTTGAAAAGTCACCTTTTTATTAACACACCCCGTATATATCACAAACGAAGAAAAACTTCACGTTAATAAGCAAATGTCTCATGTGATAGTAAAGATATTATCTAACAGATTCGTTTATCTATTTATGTTTGCGGTTAAAAAAAAAGATTATCTCATTTAATATGCGTCAGTTGTTGGGTAATTGCTAGTTTAACACTTGGGAATAACTGTTGGGCATTAAGCGTATAATATTATAACATACAAATATTCAGACATACACTTTGAAGTAAATTTTCTAGCAACGTAACAATTCTAATTGTTTTTGATTTAAATGTCAAATTAATGAACTGGAAACTTATAAGAGACAGAAAAAATATCTTAGCAAATAACATAAAACTCATTAAGTTATGACCCTCAACTGTCAGTCTGAGTCATCAGCATAAAGCAGGCAGGCAAGGCTCAGCTCTTGCTCTTGCCAACGATACATATGGCGTTTAGAATTATTACTTGTAACTAGTGG